TGAAAGAAAAGGCTTTATTCTTTGTTGAAAATCAGGGAATAACTTCAGCCTTATACCCAAGCTTAGAAAAGGCAAATAGGAATTGACAATTTTGGGACTTTGAAGTGCAGAGATGTACAATAATCGATTAGCACCTTTAGATAATCGATTAACAGGATTTGGTTCCAAACCGGGAATGTTCAGAGATGCTCAATAGTCGATTAACACTGAAGAACAATCGATTAACAAGGCTTGCACAAAACTGGGTATTTTCAGAGGTAACAGATAATCGATTATTGGTTTGGAGATAATCGATTGTTGGAGGTTGCTAGTTTGTGACGAGGAATCAGAGGGATAGAATAGTCGATTATCAGTTGTGTATAATCGATTATTCAGGCTTTCAGGATCAAGATTGGGAAAGAAAGAGGGAAAGGCATTATTTGGGTAAAAAGGATTTGAAAAGAAACAAACAAAGGTTTTAAAAGATATCAAGAAACTAAGGTTTGACTTGTCTTCCTTTGATCTCATTTTGACCTGGAGTTAAAAATTGATGGGAAAGACTTTATTTTGAATTAAAGGAAAGAAAGAAGACTTTTGGATATGTTGGGGAGTTTGGGGTTCAGGTGGAGCCATCCAGGGGTACATCAGTAACACCCCGGCCCCCACCTTAGCCGTAAGTGTGTGCTCATAGGATTGTAAACTGGTCCCACAAACCAACACAAGTCTTTCCCGCGTACTTTGTCCTCACTCATGCGCACCCAAGGAAACTTCCTAGGGGTCACCCATCCTAGAATTGCTCCAAGTCAAGCACGCTTAACTTTGGAGTTTCTAGGTGATGAGCTCTTGAAAAAAATATGCACCTTGTTGATATGAGTAGTACTATCAATCCTTTTGAGCTCTTCCCATTTCCAACTTAATACGGGCTATTACAGTTGCAGGTGCTGTCGCCGGAGCTCTTCCCATTTCCAACTATCAATCCTTTTGAGCTCTTCTCATTAAAATCTTATTTTTAGGGATTTTTTTTATTTATTTTTATTTGAATAGTATGTTGGTATATGATCTTTTGGATACTTGGTATTTGCTACGAAGTATGTTTTTCTGTGTATAATTATCTATCACATAGACATCTACCATCTGTGTCACTTAAATGACAGACATCTAGTGTCTGTGATAGTTTTGATGAAATGTTCTGGATCAAGAATTACATATATATAGTGTCTATGTCTATATAACTAAGCTGTGTTAATTGTAACTTTTTTACAATATAGAGTAACTATGGAATGTTCTTTATGTTCCATTACATGGTATATTTGATGGATTTCATTTTTATACATGTTACATAGACAATAAACATCTATTTCTGATGAATTACAGACAGTTTTTGTCTATGTAACCATAAAACACAACAAATAACACTACAAAGAGCCAAGAATTAGATGTAGTAAAAAAGGGGGAGATGTAGTTACAATAAAGTGTATGTTATAATATAACACAATGAGATATTGTTTTCAAGAATGATACACAAACAAAGCAAAATTAAATTTCTCTTTTCAATTCCACAATTAAAGCAAGCAAAAGAATTGAGAACATCCAAAATTGTATCACACCCAAACTTTATATACCAAACATTACATCCTTCAAAATTTAGAATAAAAAATTCTAGTGACATGTGATGGTTCCATCTTTGCCATCACCAATATTGACTTCGGCCATCCTCTGCAAGAAGCAATCTTTCAGCACACAACTTCAACACATCTTGTTAATGTTGTAAAAACAAAAAAAAATATATGAGAAGTAAATTAACGCATTGGGAAATTAATAGAAAATTTAAATCAAAACGAACAATACATTCCAACCAACACATTGACTATTGATGACTATGAGATTCACTTCTACATGCAGTTAACAGTTTTAACCGAAGAATTTACTTAGTGTCTGTATAGGCATTTACAAATACGTAGTATCTATGATTACAGACACGCAGTGTTTGTGATTAAAAATTCACAGACACTAAATATTTGTGAGCTCCATATATGCTCAAGAAAAGTAATTCAATCACAATTATTATTTATCACAAATAACGAATGTTTATGAAGCAAACACAAATCATATACACTTTCTAGATAGTGGAATTCATATTTCTCATGTGCCATTGAACCAAAGTAAAATACTGGTGATTTATTGACTGACAAACCTTAAACATTGGTGATCATGAAATACATACATTTTAAGCTAATAATACACACTCAAAATACATTTCAAAGCAACTTTTAAAATAAGGCAAACTATTAATTAGGATACATGCATTTTACACTAATAAAAAGCACTGAAGCACTTCAGAGACATTTCATAGCAAGTTTTGAAATTGAGCACCCTTATTTGGAAAACAAACATTCTGTGCCAGTAACAAACACTTCACAAACACTTTCGAGTAATTTATGAAATAGAACAAGTTCTTTTTTAAATACAGACATTTTATGCAAGCAAGAAGCACATCATAGACATTTCAAAACAAGTTTTGAAATTAAATACTCTTAATTAGAATACAAACATTTTACACCAGTAAGAAGTACGACATAGACATTTCGTAATAAACATGAAAATGCCCAATTACAAAAGTTATTAATGAAAAATTAGCAACTGAAAAGATTCAAAAAGGAAATAAACAATTGAACAAGTTCAAGAAATAATTAATGATTCACAAAAAAACATAAACAAAGACTAATTTCACAAAAGGGAAGGATTGAGCGACTGAATCTAGATTTACAAAATAAAAACTCTAAAATTGAAATATAAGTATTTATTATTACCTTTAATGTGTTGTTTTACGGTGGCAGCCGGATGGGTGCAAAAGATCGAAGAAGACTAAGGAGGCGCTCTTTGCCAAGTTGGATCTTTTACGGATGCACTCGATAATGGAGGATGACGAAGTAGGTGTTGTTACAGAGAAAGAACGAGAAAGACAAAGGAGGAGCTCTGGGAGAAGGGCTAGTTTTCCGGTAGTCGCTCGCTCCCTGCTTCGTTGGAGAAATCTGAGATAGAGAGAGAGCGCAGGGGGGTTATGGAAAGATGGTGGGAGGAGAGGGAAAAGGGGAGGGGGTTATGGAAAGTTAAGGGTATGTATGGTGTATAAGTGGTGTACCATAACATTTTTCAATTTCATCCATTATTCAAAGTGTAGCAATGCTAGGGGTACACCAAAAGTGCACCCCATTTGTACACCACCCCTTTCTCCACCACCCGTTTTTAATTAATTTTTATTTTTTTTAATTTTCTTGCCCAACTATGTGAACAAGGAGGGGGTGGGGACAAATGGGGTACACCAAAGGTGTACCCCTAGCATTTTTCTTCAGAGTGAGACGATATTTTTGATAGGAAAAATGCTAGGGGTACACCTAGGTGTATCTCATTTGTTCCCCACCCCTCCATTACCACAAAAATGGACAAGAATTTAAAAAAAATAATTAAATACTCCGGGTAAATAAAAAGTAGATAAAAATGAGTGGTGGAGAAGGGGATGTGGGACAAATGGGGTACACCAAACCCCTAGGGGTAGACCAAATGTGTACCCAAATGTAAACCACTCCCCTTTCTACTATTCATTTTATTTTAATTTTTTTTTATTTTTTTTTGAATTTTTCTTACTTTTTGTGTGGTGATGGGGGGTGACATTTTACTTGCTCTTTTGTTAGGGATCGAGTATCATTTTGCACACACTCCAATGCCCCGCCTGAGAGTGTAGGCCCGCACACTGCATCATCAATTATGAGTAGACCCACCCGCCCTCGTGACTCTATAGCGCCCGTCCCTCACCCTACGGACTATCGGAGTTCGTTGTCGCTTGTAGACAATCATTTCTGGGTTTACATTCCTCTCTCCCTCCAATCTGAACCCCTAAACCATTTCTTCTTCTTCTTCTTCTTCACTGACCCTTTCCAGCGGGGACTTCGTTTCTCTCTACTTGCTCATAGCCATTTCTGTTCCCTTTGAAGATTGAATCACTTCCTCGATTCTTCATCGAGGCCGTCAGCCTCCGATTTTGCTGGAAATCTGGCTCGGTCCACCTCGTTGAGGCAAATCGTCGAGCTCCTTGAGGACGTCTCTTGATCTATGCGATGGAGTGCGCTGCTATCTGTTCCACGCTTCCATTGTTCTCTCGCCGCCCACGGAAATCCGCTTATTCAGTAGCTTCAGGTGTCTCCGCAGCCGCATTTCGGGGGATTCCGGATGAAGATATCGGGAGATTGTTTCTCCGTCATGGCTGGCGTAGGCTGAATCGAATTGAGAGCCCCGTGCGAGTCAGGGCCGCACAGAAAAGCTCCCGAGAGGATGCTGGCAGTGAGGAATCGGATAATGCTTTGGAGAAGGCTGTTGAAAAGAGCAAGAAGGTTTTAACTTTGCAAAAGGACCTACTTCAGCAGGTCTCCTTTATTCTTTTTCCATTCCTACTTTCTGGGTATACAGTGCTTGGCTATACTCTCGTATGGTGGCTTTCTCTTTGTGTCCTCTAAAAAAAATCTCCTTTATTATATTGAAGATTTCTAATAAATTTCGTTTATTTTTTGTAATATGTTATAGCAAGTGTGAAGTATGCCATGTTGAGATCAAACTCATACATCCTGTTTTGGCTACAAAAACTTTTACCATCCAATCCAAGCCCATTCCCTTAACCTGTCCTCTTTGGAATCAAACTCATTCCCACTCTGTTGCTTCGCTGTCTGTTATGCGACAAACGAGGAACTTTGGAAGACTATGCCTAATCCGACCTTGCATTTATCATTGTTGTTGTGTGTGCACTGTACAGTGGCTGGAATAGCTCTAGCTTCTCTAGTTAATTCTGTTAGGAACAGCCTATCTCAACCTACTTGGGGCTTGTTCATTGGTTAATGTAGTTATATTTAAAGGTGTTTCTGATCTGATCTAATTTCAATTAAGATTAGTAATAAGTAATAAGAATAAGTTAAGGAGAACAAGCTCTTGGTTTCCCTTTTTGATACTCTAATTAACTAGTAAAAATTTTTACCCATGTCATATCATTACTCGTAAGTAACTTTCTCTCTCCGTCCCAATTTATTCTTTCTCATTTGGACGAACGTGCAAAATCTCATCTTTTTTAAAATTACTTTATTTACCAATTATTGCAGACATATAAAGTATAAATTACACTGTTCATAACTAAAAAATATTCAACAAAACAAGAGTGACAAAAGTATTTTATTTTATCAAATGATCAATGAAAACATGCATGCCAACATAGGTTATGGAGAGATCGTAATAGTAACTGAGAAGATTAATTTGGGATGGAGGGAGTATTTTTTTTAGATACTCCGGTATTTATTGAAAACAGAGTCTTCTTTTTCTCAGTGAAAAGGACCTGAATTTTGTTAAGATTAAGACACCTTTGGCTTTGACAGTTGATACAGTTGAATACATGATCGACTCTGTTTTACTCAGAATATCTGTAGGCTGCATTATAAATGTAAATGACCTCATATGATTATCTTTATTCATTCTCTTCTTACTTATCTCTTATCTGTTGAATTATCTCCCTGATTTTCAGATTGCCAAGAGAAAGGAATTAGTATCTTCAATAAAAACTAGCCTGCTTGACCCAAAAAGTAGTCTAGATGATTGGGAGGACAGTTTTGCAGACAATGATAAAGAGTATGATGGATTATTATCTACTTCGAGTGCTCAATCAGCGCATGGCTTGGAAGAATATCCACAGTCTGTTCCAAGTGAACATTTTGTTGAAAATGATAAAGTAGGTAAAAAGAACCTACCTTTAACAACGACTACCTTGAACAAAGGTTCAGACAAGATACTCCGAAAAAGAAACCCAAAGAGTGTAGAATCTAATGTAAAACCAGCTTCACTATCAAATTTGTCTTCGAGTTTAAGTCAATCAACTTCTTCAACTACAAAAACTGCCCCTGGGACTGTGAACTCCAGTAATATTGCAGTACTGGATTTGGATTCTCAAACAAATTTGAAACCGTCTTCAAGAGAGATACCATTGACTGATGTTCCATCCTCAAAGGCATCTGCATCTGCTAGTGAACATGAGAAAAGAGATCTTAGTGTTTCATGTTCAAAGGAAATAGGTGATGGGACCGGAGATCCTTCAGGTGTAGCCTTGAAGCCGCCTCCACTGGCAGGGGCCAATGTTATGAACATAATATTAGTTTCTGCAGAGTGCGCTCCTTGGTCTAAAACAGGTATCTAACATGCTATTTAAAATGTTGATTGTTGATGCCAGAATTAGGATGCATGGACTAATACTTTGCTGTGGTGACTTAAGCTTCAGAAATAGTTTCACTGTTATGATTTTTCGGAATTAGTGTCATAGTATTCCCATCAAAACACCTCCCCCACCCCCCTGCAAACAAAAAACAGGAATATTAATTGAATGAGACATATAACTGACATATTCCTAATCCTCTGATGAATAAGATTTTATGAAACGAGGTCTTAAGTTGGCAATCGAGTATATGCTGAATAATTTTTTTTATAAAACCTAGAACTCCCTAGAAGAATTGGGAACTAGAAATACAAAACAAAAAGGAATTTGAAAGCACGATATTTATACAAGAAGTATAAAACAAGAATCTGTTTTATGGTGCATTTCCATATCATAGAAATAAGTGCATGGACCTGCACAAATTCTCGAAAGTTACGTAATAGTTTGCAAATGAAAGTAATGATGAGTTATCTTAGGTGGGCTAGGAGATGTTGCTGGAGCACTACCCAAGGCTTTGGCTCGGCGTGGACACAGAGTCATGGTATTGTATTCAGTTCCTTGCAATGCATTGTACCCAAAAATTATGCTATAGAAAATGTATAAAATATGGGTGGTAGCAATATCATTAAAATATAAAAGTACTGCATTACCTCTATGATTCAGCTGCTCTGTATTCTTACAAAATTTCTAACCTATCATTGTGTTTTGTTTTGTTATGTTTTAACTTTCCCCTGAAACTTGTAGGTTGTGACACCTCTCTATGGAAACTATGGTGAACCTCAACATGCAGGAGTTCGAAAAATGTACAAGGTTGATGGCCAGGTAAGTAAACAATTAATAACCATGCATTATTCATTGTGTTTGAAACCTCTGTTCATGAATGCTTGCAAATTTTTGCTAGTTATTTTTTCTTTAAGCTTTGCAGGACATGGAAGTGAATTATTTTCAAGCCTACATTGATGGTGTGGATTTTGTGTTCATTGATAGTCCAATCTTACGGCATATCGAGAACAACATATATGGAGGAAACAGTATGGTATGCATCCCCTTCCCCCACAAAAGGGGAAAAGAATCAACTGTCTCTCAACTTCCTGGATATTTGTAATACGTAGTATTATCTTTGAAAAACCCATATGCGTAGCCTCTTTATGATGCTTTATCTGATCAGTTTTTACATGTCACTTTTATATATTACAGAGTACAATATAAACCATAGTTCCTTACATCGTGATATTGATAGACATAGCTTATATCTCATGCTAGTTTTGAAATTCTAATGCATTATAGCTGATCATATTACTTAGTTTGTCATTAGACTTGTGTAAAATGAGGTATTGTTTGAGCATATGCTATAAATGGCATAACATTCTTTTTGTTTGTCTTTTCACTTTGTTTTAGCTTAATATTGGTTCAAAGAAATTTTGTAATGATTTATTGCAGGACGTTTTGAAACGCATGGTCTTATTTTGCAAAGCTGCTGTTGAGGTATGTTAGCTCTTGTATTGCACACTGTACGGCTCATGCTTTCTGTCAAAACCAACTGCACTGTAAATGTTTGAATCCGTAGAGACCTACCAAATATCTACCATTATGTGATACACAGATCGAACTAGGAAATACGGAACTTCTAGTCTAGAGGTGAAGTCAACAACATAATCACTAAAATTTTCTATTACTCTTTTACTGCTATAAATAGAGAATGGGAATGGAAAACTATTACTCCGTTCAACTTATTTTTTCTGCTTATTACTTATTCTTATTATAATCAGATCAGACCAGATTAGATCATCAAAAAATCAGATCAAATCAGGTCAGATCATCAAAAAATCAGATCAAATCAGGCGAACGAAATGCAGCCTATAGTGTAATTATCTTCTTTTGTTTTTTGGTTCATGTTGAGTGAATGGAATTGTTATACTCCCTCCGCCCCAAAAAACTTTACCCAGTTTGATTTTCACCGAGTTTAAGAGAAGTGTATGATTAGAATTTGTGTAGATGAGAGAGACCTTGTGAGCCACATGTTCATTACTAAAAACAGGTAATACAGTAAGTGGGAAGAGTTTTTTCAGACTTTCCAAAAAGAAAAAGTGTGCATTTTTTTTGTGGGACTGAGGGAGTACTTACGAAGGGATTAAGTCACGTGATTATTGCTTTGTTGAGGGTGGAAATGGGTTCTGTAATTCACCTAGAGTCATGTGTGCTTGATATTTTTATATTTTCAATAGTGTCTAGTGTCTTCTAAGAAACCTCATTGTACCCACCTGTTGGTCTTCCTTCATGCACTTCTAATAATTTCAAAATTTATTGATATAAAATGGCTTGATAAGAAGCTGCAGAGTGAAGAGTAAATTAGGGAAAAGGTCAAATAAGCCACCAAACATTTGCGAAACATGCAATTATGCCCTCAAATTGAAGTGTCAAATAAATTATCAAACTATAAAACAAACACAATCAGACACTCTTTTATGCTTTGCAGTGTGTAAATAGGTCATTTCCATCATTCCACGTCACTCGTTCTAACATCTTAGTTCACTAAGTCATCATATTATTTATTATGATTATTTGTTTTGCTTTAAAAATGTTCTAGCTGCAATGGTAGTGCTTTGAGTAATATCATTTGTCAGTCGTTGAAGGAGACAGCGTCTGCCATTGACAAGATAATGTGGGATAGGCTTAGTTAACACACTTGGGATTGTTATGTTTTTTGTTGGGTGTTTTGACGCTTCAGTAAGTGAATTGTTAAATTGGTGAATAAGGTTCCATGGCATGTTCCTTGCGGTGGTGTTTGCTATGGAGATGGGAATTTGGTGTTCATTGCAAATGATTGGCATACTGCATTACTGCCAGTCTATCTGAAAGCATATTACCGTGACAACGGACTAATGAAATTCACTAGATCTGTTCTTGTCATTCATAACATAGCTCACCAGGTTCGTTTCCATTGTAAGAACGATTTCCAGAACTATATATATCTAACAGTGTTTCCCTATTTCTTACCCTGCATTGTTGGTTCATGCTCCTATTTCAGGGTCGAGGGCCTATGGATAATTTTTCATATGTGGGCCTACCAAGTGAATACGCAGAACTTTTCAGGCTCTACGATCCATTAGGAGGCGAACATTTCAACATATTTGCAGCAGGTCTGAAGACAGCTGACCGTGTGGTCACAGTGAGCCATGGATATGCCTGGGAACTTAAAACTCCAGAAGGTGGATGGGGTTTGAACGGTCTAATAAATGAGAATGATTGGAAACTGCAGGGGATTGTCAATGGCATAGATACTAAAGAGTGGAATCCCCAATTGGACTGTCACTTAAAATCTGATGGCTATGTAAACTACTCCCTGGACACATTGCAGTCCGGCAAATCTCAGTGCAAGGCAGCATTGCAAAGGGAGCTCAATTTGCCCGTCCGAAACGATGTCCCTTTAATAGGTTTCATTGGGAGGCTTGACCACCAAAAAGGAGTCGATCTGATAGCTGAGGCAATTCCTTGGATGATGGGTCAAGACGTGCAGCTGGTCATGCTAGGCACAGGAAGGCCTGACCTTGAAGAGATGCTCAGGCAGTTTGAGAATCAATACGGCAGGGACAAGGTCAGGGGATGGGTTGGTTTTTCAGTAAAGACAGCACACCGGATAACTGCTGGTGCAGACATTCTACTGATGCCATCAAGGTTCGAGCCTTGTGGGCTTAACCAGCTCTATGCTATGAGCTATGGGACGATTCCAGTCGTCCATGCTGTGGGAGGTCTTAGAGACACAGTGCAGCCCTTTGATCCGTTCAATGATTCGGGCTATGGATGGACGTTCCAAAGAGCTGAGGCTAACCAGCTGATTGATGCTCTGGGCAACTGTTTATTAACATACCGCCAGTACAAGCAGAGTTGGGAGGGGCTCCAGAGGCGTGGCATGATGCAAGACTTGAGCTGGGATCACGCTGCCGCCAAGTACGAGGAAGTTCTTGTCGCTGCTAAGTATCAATGGTGATATCAGATATCAGTCTAACTATCATTTGGCCAGGAGTGACTTCCATCGCCTCTAGCCAGTCACTGCTTTGTATTTTGTGATATAGGCTCCTTTAGATGTCTGAATTGACATCAAATTTATCTTTTCTTGTAATATAATCCCTCCATCCACAAAGAACTTCACACTTTTTTTTATGAGTTTGGTACAAACGACATTGGCAACCAGTGTTATCCCAGGATGACACTAGTCAATTTCAGCACCCCGGGGTGCTCCGTTTTACCCCGAAGTAGTTCTTACTCCTACCAACCCCCCATAAAACCTCGCACCGTAACCCGCCCCTTGCCCATCCGCCCATTACTCATTCGGAGATTTCCAAAAAAAGTAAGAAATCTACCTTATTTAAATAAGGCTAATATATTGAGTTTATACCAAAAACAACTTATATTTTCATCCTCGAATAAGTAGACCTGGCAATCGGGTCAATTGGTTTAGTTCCGGTTCGTGCTTATTTCGAATACATATTATAATCAGTTCGGGTTGGTTCGGTTCAGTTCGGTCGAGTTTAATTATGTTTGATTTTTTCCTGGTTTTGGTTTGGGTTTATTTCGGTTTGGTTTATATCAGTTCGGGTTTATACTGGTTTCAAATCAGATTTCTTGGTGTTAGAGTTCCTAATGTTCGACTTGTGGGTAGCCCCCCCTCCTTGTGTGTATCGAGGGTATATATACACATGTCAGCAATAATGAGTTAGTATATGTATCAATGTGTGTTACAATGTTACTATAAACTATATATATTTTGTGTAAAATAGACAATCATTTTAGTTTAAGTGATGAAATACGGAATAAAAGATTTGTGCATGAAATTAGTTGTACCTATAATTTGAATATGTATTTCTAAAAAAGACATCAACCAATGAGCTATTAGGTTTGACAGGATTTGAGTTTCGGAGTCAATCCAGATCAAAGAAGGAAATAAAAAAGAAGAAGAAGGTTCGGTAAGAAAATCTGCTCCACCAATTCCTTTTCCGAATCGACTAAAGAAATCACATATTGAGGAACGAAGAACCAAGTTCTTAAACCGTATCAAGCAATTGGATATCTCTATTCCTTTGCTTGATGCCATCACTGAAATTCCTTCATATACCGAATTTCTCAAGGAGATCTTAACAAAGAAGAAAGAAAATCCTCTCACGGTAGCCATGAGTCAAGAGTGCAGTGCCATAATCCAAAACAAGATCCCCCAAAACGCGTGATCCTGGAAGTTTCTCAATTCCATGCTACATTGGAGGATCTAAAGTAAACAAAGCTCTTTGTGATCTTGGTGCAAGTGTTGGCTTGATTCCATACTCTCTGTGTCAGAAGCTACACTTGGGTGATCCTACACCAACAACCATGGCGCTACAATTGGCTGATCGCTCTGTCAAGTACCTAATCGGTATTCTTGAATATGTTCCTGTCAAGATCGATAAATACTATATTCCAGGAGTCTTTGTTGTCTTGGATATGGAAGAAGATGCCCAAGTTCCTATCATTCTTGGGAGACCATTACTTGCAACTGCCGGAGCTATCATAAATGTGAAGAAGGGTACACTCATCCTTGAAATCGGGGATGACAAGATAGAGTTCAATGTGCAAGAGCTGAGTTAGTACGCTGCATGCGTTCTTGATTTTTTCAACGTGGATATCATTAATTCATGTATTCTCGGAACTCTTGAGGAATCTCATTTACTCTCAAGAGATCCAATGGAGTACACCATATGTCAATTTGTTGAAGAGAAACAATCAAATGAGATGGTGAACTCATGCTTGGAGATTCTGCATCATCTCTCCGAACCAATGGAGGGACTGGAAAAATTTGAGGTCCTTAATCTTGAAGCGGAGCCTATGCCCAAAAATGATGAAATAACTAAAGTAGAGCTCAAACCTCTTCCCTCTACTTTACGATATGCTTTTCTTGGGCCCAACTCTACTTATCTGGTGATTATCAACTCTTCCCTAAATGCTTAACAAGAGGAGAAGCTGCTTAAAGTCCTTAGGGAACACCGAAGGATAATTGGTTACACCATTGACGATATTGTTGGAATCAGTCCTTCATATTGCATGCACCGCATCTATCTTAAAGAAGGACATAAAGCGAGCATTGAGCACCAACGACGTCTTAATCCAAACATGGAAGACGTTGTCAAGAATGAAGTGCTAAAGTTGTTGAGATCAGGAAGCATCTATCCCATTTCAGACAGCAAATGGGTTAGCCCTATTCATGTGGTTCTGAAAAAGGGAGGAATTACTGTTGTTAAAAACGACAAAAATGAGCTTATTCCTACCCGAATGGTCACTGGTTGGCACATGTGCACTGACTACCGAAAATTAAACAAAGCCACTCGGAAGGATCATTTTCCTCTCCCATTCATTGATCAGCTACTTGAAAGAATGGCCAAACATTCTTATTTCTGTTTTCTAGATGGCTTCTCGGGATTCTTTCAAATCCTGATTCATCCTCATGCATACCGAAGAATGCCAATTGGATTATGTAATGCACCTGCAACTTTTCAAAGGTGTATGATTGCTATTTTCTTAGAATACATTGAGGAGATCATGGAGGTATTCATGGATGATTTCTCTATCTATGGGAATTCATTTGAAGATTGTCTGATGAATTTAGACAAAGTGTTGAGCAGATGTGAAGAAGCCAATCTTGTACTAAATTGGTAGAAATGCCATTTCATGGCAACATAAGGAATTGTACTTGGCCACAAAATCTTTGAACATGGTATTGAAGTTGATCCAGCAAAGATCGAAGTCATCGAAAAGTTACCACCACCGAATTCGTGTAAAAGGAATTCAGAGTTTTCTCGGTCATGCCGGATTCTACTGCCGTTTCATTAAAGACTTCTCTAAAATCTCAAAACCCTTGACAAATCTACTGTCCAAGGATGTAGATTTTAATTTTGATGTTGATTGTCAAGAAGCTTTTTCTAAGCTGAAGGTTGCCTTAACAACTGCTCCAATTATAAGGCCACCCGAACTTACCATTCGAAATCATGTGTGATGCAAGTGATTATGCAGTCGAAGCTGTGCTAGGCCAACACAAGGGGAGAGAAGTCTATGCGATATACTACGCAAGTCATACTCTTGATGATGCACAACTCATTTATGCAACAACTGAAAAATAGTTTCTTGCGGTAGTCTTTGCCATTGAGAAGTTCCGATCATATCTCATCGGACGTAAAATTATTGTGTACACTGATCATGCTGCTATCAAATACATCATGGTAAAGAAAGACTCCAAACCAAGGCTTCTAAGATGGATTCTTTTACTATAAGAATTTGATATGGAGATCAAAGATCGAAAAGGGTCGGAAAATGTTGTAGATGACCACACTTATCAAGGTTGGAAATTTCAGAGGCAAAAACTAGGCCGATCAATGATTACTTCACTCGAGAACAACTTATGCTGGCTAAAAGCATTGATCCATGGTTTGCTAAAATAGAAAATTATCTTTCAAATGGAATAATTCCAACCGAAGCAACTCATGCAGAAAAGAAGAAGTTGCAATATGACTCTCAAAATTACATCTGGGAGGAAGCATTCCTCTATAAAATTTGTGCTGATGGAGTCATAAGAAGATGTTTGCCCGAGGATGAAGTTTCAAATGTATTACACCATTGCCATTCTCCTGCCTACGGAGGACACCATGGTAGCTCCCGCACAGCAGCAAAGGTGTTACAATCTGGTTTCTTTTGGCCTACTCTTTTCAAAGATGCCAACATATTTGTTAAAAGTTGCGACCGTTGTCAACGCACTGGAATCATCGGGAGGAGAAATGAAATGCCTCAAAGGGGCATTCTTGAAGTTGAAGTATTTGATGTCTGGGGCCTTGATTTCATGTGCCCATTCCCGAAGTTAAATGGAAAGGAATTCATCCTCGTGGCTGTAGACTATGTATCAAAATGGGTTGAAGCAAATGCCACGTTCACAAATGATTCAAAAACGGTGATTTATTCGAGGGAACATTTTCTCTCGATTTAGAGTCCCAAGAGCAATCATCATCGACAATGGCACCCATTTTTGCAATAAAGCATTGGGACGAGTTCTTGCAAAGTACGGGGTTCATCACCGACTCTCTACCCCGTACCACCCACAAACAAATGGCCAAGTCGAGCTTTCAAACAGAGAAATAAAAAGCATCCTTGAGAAGGTTGTTAATCCTTCAAGAAAGGATTGGTCTGATAAGCTTGACGATTCATTATGGGCATACCGCACGGCTTTCAAAAATCCCATTGGAACCTCCCCATATCATCTTGTGTATGGGAAGGCATATCATCTTCCTGTTGAGCTAGAACACAAAGCATTTTGGGCAATTAAAAATCTCAACATGGATCTCTCCTTTGCGGGTGAAAATAGAATGTTGCAGTTGAATGAGCTCGAGGAGTTCAGACTCACAGCTTATGAAAAATCCAAATTTTATGCAAACCAAACAACTGCATGACAAGGTAATCTCTAAACGAGATTTCTCACCAGGAGACTAGGTACTTCATTATAACTCTCGCTTTAAATTGTTCCCTGGTAAGCTGAGGACCCGGTGGTCCGGACCATTTGAGGTAGTGGAAGCATTTACCTCCAGTGTTGTGCAACTTTGTGGCAAGGATAATGCCAAATTTATTATAAATGGGCAATAATTGAAGCGTTATCTTGCTAACGATCACAAAGAGGGAATGCTACTCTATTTCCTCGAAATGCTTGAATATGAATGATTGCAAATGCCAAACTAATGACCTTAAATAAACGCTTCTTAGGAGGCAACCCAAGGTTTCAAATTCTGCATTTTTTTGTTTTAATAAGGTTATTGGATTTCAATAAGGCGTTTCTCAATTCACGCCATGTACATAAAATCCAATTTACCATTTGCTTGGGGTTGTTTACTTAATTCTCCTTCATTTTTTTTACACTGAGGATAGTGTAAATTTTAAGTGTGAGGGAGTGGATAGATCAAACCTGATTATTTGTGTGCAAAAAAAAGAGATTTTTTTTTCATTTTTTATTTTGTTTTTGTGTGTTTGTGTTGAATGATGAACACTCTAGATACAAAAAGTAAAATTTAACATACAAATTCTTTGTTTATATGTCTTGTTAATATTTATATACATAACCTTGTAAATTACAAAATCATTTTTTTTGACGGAATGTGGTACGAGTTTGAGAATTGTTTCATTATAAGATCTTGAGAGTAATTGTGTCTGAGCCTTAAGTTGATTTCTGTTAATAATTTAACATAAAATACCACAGAGTTTTTCTAATTATTGGTTTTCTAGCTAAACTTAGTTATAACTTTTACAGACCATGATATTTCACATTTGTTCTCCATAAAATGATGTTTCGATTTGACACATTTAGACATGATATAGGCCATCTTTGTTTAACCTCTCAAACCAAGCCTACCCAATTCAAAAAAAAAATCCCTAGTTGTCCCCTTTCGAGCCTTTTTCTGTAAATAAGTATTATCACTTATCCCTTGTTTGTCATTTTTTTTCTTGTTACCCTGTAAATATTTAACCCTAAACCATTTAGCCAAAATAAATTATCCCTCCACCCTAGAGTAGATTGTCTTATTATTTGAGAAGGAAATTGAAAAAAAAAAGTTAATGATTGAGTATGTCATATTCTTTCTTTTGTATTAAAGTTGTACATTCTTTTTCTTTGTAAAGATAATTATAACTTAGTGTGCCTTCAAAAAAAATAATAAAAAAAAGAGTTTAAAAAAAGCAAAAAATAAAAAAAATAAAAAATAAAAAAATAAAAAAAAAGTTGATAAAAGAAGAAGAAGCACACTAATCTTGAACTCTTTAGATTTTTAGACTTTATTCTTCTTGGGCATTAACAAAAAAAACTAAAAAGTGCCCCCAATATTAACTTTAATCCTGTATTCTTTGTAAAATAATTGTCATTTCTCATTTTCGAGTCATTTGTTTACCTTGCTCCATAGTTACATTTATAGTAATTTTTGAGTTCCTGATCAAAATAAGAATAATCTATCTTTTTTTGTCTGTCCTTGATACCCTTTCTTTGTTTACCCAGTTACCCTTAGCCCCGTTACAAGCCGAATAAAAGTCCTAATTGATCTTTTTGTGTCATTTTAAAAAATAATGTGATTGGAGAAACTTGGTTTGTATTAGTGTAATTAGTTTAGCACTATAAGTGTTTCTGTTAGATTATTAATGTGAAAGTTTCTAGGATAGGCAATATTAATCAACTTAATCTCATTCTATTGAGGGTTACAAGAGCACTTATAGGGAAGCAGGGGATAAGTTGGCAAGTGCCCATGACGCACCCGGGTGGTTTCTCGAAGGATTGCCTTGATGATCTGAGGATCTCTCGAGCAAAGGCATGCTTTCTAACCGGTAATGTCATGGGCACTTACCAACTCGGGTGGTTTGCTTCCCCATTGGTTAAGTGTGGGTTTGTCTCAACTACTGTTGTTACGCACTGTTCATAACACACTCGATCGGTTCCTGTCGTATCCGACCCGAGTCAGGCCTTGGGTGGGAATAAACCCATCAGTAATAGGCTCTTATTAGAATTGTGATTTTTAACTCCAAAGCTCTAATGAGTTTAGAAATTTGACTTTGTATTTTTTATAAATCACAGAAAAATTGATATTACTTCTTTTGGATGCACAATAATAATAGATTTCCGTGTTTTATACCATGATGCTCTTATTTGGACCTTAGGTACGTGGCTTTAGAGCCATCGGTAAATAAATCATGGTCGTAGATTATTTAGTTTTATAGGTCCTCCCTAAGTGGATGCATAATAAGAATGGGTTCGGGTGCCTATCACTATTATTGGGGACAAGTATGAAGGGTCATATGGGATTGCTTCCTAGCCAAAAAATAAGAGGAGCTACTTTTGAGTACCTCCCAAGTGTTAGGGCTTAGCGACACCACTAAGACTAAAACGTCCAAACGCCGAGTCTTTGGGGATAGAGTTAGGCTTTAGCTATAAAATACTCTGCGGTTTTCCTAAGGAAAGTTAAAAAACGATTACTCCCGCGGGATTCATTTCTTCGCTTTAGAGCAAGAAAGAGACAATAGATTTTCAAGATAGACACCTCGAGGGGTGTTTTATGATAACCTAATCAGTTAGCTTGAGCACAAAACAACGGCTCCCAATTGGGTTATTCGAAAAAAGATGATTTTCAAATCAGTTTCTTTCAAAATGGTTATTCTAGAGAATGGGATATCAATTTTTATGACAAAACTATGAATTCTCATTTTGGGTAGTTTCGTATTTTCTTAAAACACCCACTTATACAATTCCTTTAAATTTATGGTATCAGGTTGAAAGTAAGTTTTGAGAAGTAGTGATCTGGATTGCAAGACAATTTATACAATTCCTTTGAACCTATGGTATTAGGTGGATTCCTTTAAACGTATGGTCAAAATGAAGATATGCGCTCTCACCGGTGATTCAGGGAGTTTTTTCAATCGCAACTCGTTTGCACCTGGTTTGAATTCTCTCACACCTCTGGTGGCGACATGGGTTTTAGTGACTTTAAACAGCGACAACAAAGAATCTCCCGACTGAAGGTGTGAGCTCGTGCTTTAAGGTGAGGTATGCTCTATAAGGAAAGATATGGGACGGAGAGAATACAAGACTAAAATGACAGGAAAACTAATTGAAAATGTGTCTCTTTCTTTATCTTCCTCGGTTGAAAAGAAAAGTTGAAGCGACACAATTCGCTAATCCGTAGCTAATTGGGCGACACTCTTCATCAGTTCAAGACGACGACGAAGGATCTATCTCCTCGTTCTTATTCCTCGTCAAGCAGCAGCGGACGGTACTCGCCTTGGGGATTGATGAAGTCGGATGTGAGTTGCGTTATGACACCATTATTATTATTATTAGTTGCATTATATGGGAACTCAATTCGGGCATTAAATTCATTGAACATGCATTGGAACTCTACTTTGAACAGGATCTATCTTCTTCTTTCTGTTCTTCTTCTACTTCTCCTTCTTCTTCTGCACCACTCTCCGATGTAAGTTGCATGAAACCATTGTTGTTGTTGTTGTTGTTGTTATTATTATTATTTGCATTATATGGGAACTAAATTCGGGCATTAAATTCATTGAACAGGAATTTGAACTCTCCGTTAACCAAATTGGGTTCGCAATAACGTCGGCCCTAGAGACCAGAGCTGCTGTGTTCGAATAAATGGAGGAGGAGGGCATCCTCGCACAACCTGATCCCATTCATATGGCTTCACACGTCAGGGCGATCTTGAAGAGCTGCCTTGTTGAGATGGAGCATGATTACATCAGTCTGGATTTAGAAAAGGAATTGGAGTCCAGTATGAAGGCACTATCGAGATACATTCAATGGGGCTTCCTTCCCCTGAATGGGGATATTGATGCCCAAGACATATTTCAAATGATTTTAAATGCTCTATTCCAGCTCCGTGCCTCCGCTATCATACCCACGTTCATTTCAATTTCTCACTTACATGCAACCGCAGGCCACCAGACACTGCTAAGGGCTATGCCCCTTGTTGTTCTTGTGATGCAGTTCCGCTTTAAAGAAGCCTCTATATGGTTATCCAGCAATCGCCAAGATTTATTTGAACCTAATGTTTCGTATTGGGACACGGAGTTTCTCTACGTAGCGTTGATGTTTTATCCAAGGAGGATGGAGGAAACAATGAGTTACATTGTCTTATATGTCAGAAGCAATGCAGATTTAAGAACCGCTCAGTTGAAGGATCTCATCTCGTTGATATACGTCCTTGACATAGTCTCGGACGATCAATATGTTTCTGAAGTGAATAAAAAAGTTGCAAGCCTTTTTGACAAAGTGTGGAAGTCGTTCTTTCAAGAAAATGGCATCCCTTGGACTGAGTTACCGTCCCGTGCCCTTTTGGATGAGGATCTGGATATGATTAATTTAGATATGATTAATTTGGGTTTCCCTTTGGTGGGTGATGGGCATTTTGATGTCCACACAAAATTGGGAATGATTTTAAATGCTCTTTACCAGCTACGAGCCTTCCATATCATACCCGCGTTCATTCAACATTCTGCCTTACAGCAAACTGAAGGCCACATGACGCTTCCCTTCATTGCACTCATGAAGGAGTGCATGCTAAGGGAAGCCTCTATGTGGTTATCCAGCAATCGCCCAGGTTTATTTGGACCTACCGTTCCCTTCTGGGACACGCAGCATCTCTACTTAGCCTTTATGCTGTATCAAAGGAGGGAGAAGGTTGAAACTGTGCGAGAGCTTGAAGATCAGATCGGAGCGGATAATTATTCAATAACCCGCGCTGAGATAGGGGATTTCCAGTCGTTGGTGTGCCTCATGGGCATAGAGTCTGAATTTGGCAGAAACATGCGGTTTTATTTTTGGCTTTAATTCTTTAATGTTAAATGTTGGATTGAATTAAATTAATTTCTTCTTCATTCCATCTATGCTTATATCTGTTTGTTTGCCAAGCTAAGCAAGCTCCCATGCGCTCCATTCCCACTTGTTGGAGTATTATTTGTATTTTTTTCCTGGCATTTGCTCGCTTTTTTCCTAGCATTTGCTCCATTGTTTAATCCTTTCTTTAGAAAAGTCAAATTCGACTCTTTTCAGTCAAATTTGACAAACTTTACGTTTCAATTACTCCCAATTTTCATTGCATATTAATTCTACGGAATACAATTTTTAAAGTTCCCAATATGATAAATCTAATAATACCGTTTTTAATTTTTTATACTAAAATACATTATGGCTTTTATTTAATTGCAGTTTAAAATCCATCCGGTTTGATCTGAAAAAGTCAAATCGCATAAATACGCTGACACGAAAAGAGCATGAAGAAGCAAAACTTGAAAATTGGTTAAAATTAAAAAGCAATATCTAGACAAATATTAAAAATAAAAAGTCATCTACATAGTAGGAAGTCTAGTCAGCGACAAGATTTTCACAATTCTATATTGTTATAAAAATACATCATCTTCAAATAATAATCTATGTTATTATTCCTATTATTCCCGCTGGCAACAGGTATCCATTTGAGTTAAAAATTGAAGATGATGTATTTTTATATCAATTGTTATTATTCCTATTATATCAACGGGCATTTTTATAAAAATACATCATCTTCAAAAAATTATTATTATTCCTATTATTATTGTTATTATTACTATTATTGTTGTGGTTATTACTAGTTTCATTATTATTATTATTAACATTTTTTTTGACATTTTTCGTCAGACTATATGTCCATGAGGCGCACCAACGACGAGAAATCCCCTATCTCAGCGCGGGTCATTGAATAATTATCTGCTCTGATCCGATCTTCAAGCTCGCGCACAGTTTTGACCTTCTCCCTCCTTGGATACATCATAAAGGCTAAGTAGAGATGCTGCGTGTCCCAGAAGGGAATGGTAGGTCCAAATAAACCTGGGCGATTGCTGGATAACCACATAGAGGCTTCCCTTAGCATGCACTCCTTCATGAGTGCAATGAAGGGCATGGCCCTGTTCAGTGTCATGTGGCCTTCAGTTTGTTGTAAGGCAGAATGTTGAATGAACGCGGGTATGATGGAAGGCTCGTAGCAGGTAAAGAGCATTTAAAATCATTCCCAATTTTGTGTGGACATCAAAATGCCCATCACCCACCGGAGGGAAGCCCAAATTAATCATATCCAAATTAATTATATCCAGATCCTCATCCAAAAGGGCACGAGATGGTAACTCAGTCCAAGGGATGCCATTTGCTTGAAAGAACAACTTCCCCACTTTGTCAAAAAGGCTTGCAACTTTTTTTTCACTTCAGAAACATATTGATTGTCCGAGACTATGTCAAGGACGTATATCAATGAGATGAGATCCTTCACCTGAGCTGTTCTTACATCTGCATTGGTTCTGATAGATGAGACAATGTAACTCATTGTTTCCTCCATTCTCCTCGGATAAAACATCAACGCTACATAGAGAAACTCCGTGTCCCAAAACGGAACATTAGTTTCAAATAAATCTTGACGATTGCTGGATAACCATATAGAGGCTTCTTTAAAGCGGAATTGCTTCACAAGAACAACAAGGGGCATAGCCCTTAGCAGTGTCCGGTGGCCTGCGGTTGCTTGTAAGTGAGAAATTGAAATGAACGTGGGTATGATAGCGGAGGCACGGAGCTGGAATAGAGCACTTAAAATCATTTGAAATATGTCTTGGGCATCAATATCCCCATTCAGGTGAAGGAAGCCCCATTGAATGTATCTCGGAAGTGCCTTCATACTGGACTCCAATTCCTTTTCTGAAGTACTGATGTAATCATGCTCCATCTCAACAAGGCAGCTCTTCAAGATCGCCCTGACGTGTGAAGCCATATGAATGGGATCAGGTTGTGCGAGGATGTCCTCTTCCTCCATATATTCGAACACAGCAGCTCTGGTCTCTAGGGCCGACGTTATTGTGAACCCAATTTGGTTAACAGAGAATTCAAACAAGGTGCAAACGAGTTGCGATTGAAAAAACTCCCTGAATGGGTGTTCTGGTGAGAGCGCATATCTTCATTTTGACCATACATTTAAAGGAATCCACCTAATACCATATGTTTAAAGGAATTGTATAAATTGTCTTGCAATTCACATGACTATTTCTGAAAACTTACTTTCAACCTGTGATAGTCGTGTCTTAGCACCTATAAATTAATTTCTTATTTTCCTTAACTCTTAACCCCCTTTATGAATTAATATTCATTAAAACATATAGATAGGGCAAGTAAGGGTCGATCCCACGAGGAAAGATACTTTTTAGGCTATGAAAATCAGTTCACTTGTCACTTTTATTTAATGAAAACTAACTAAACTGACAACTAAAACTAAACTAACAGATATGGGGGGTTTGAATGATAATTCTAAAAAGATAAAAATGCAAATAAAATAAAGATAAAAGATAACAGATATGAGATGGAACCATAACAGCAACTCGAACTCAGAAGAACACTCATGGAGAAAACAAACACACAAACAAACTCACATTTAAACTTTATAAAGACGTAGACAATAATATTTAACTTAAAACATTTTGAAAATACTTATAGTTTTTAATTGAAAATAAATTGAAAAATAATATTAACTAATTAATTACGCCTAGCTTTTGAAATTAAACTGCTAATTAAACTCAAGGGTTAGGCTGAAGAAGAGGTCCACCAACGGTTCTTCCCTATTCTCCCATTCATATTAGCTCATGCTAGGACCAACCCTAACTCTAAACCCTACTACCCTTAGCAACCCAAAGACCAACCCTTAAGTTACTTCTAAGAATAGCGCATTAAGATTTGTGGAAAACATCACCATAACAACTTTGCAGTAACACTACGGTTATTTAACAAATTCAGTTGGAGAACCTTGATTAGCAAAAACCACTTAATGACACAGCAAAGTACTAATCAAGTGACACTAAGTTTCTAGAAAAGTTCGGCTATTTAAATCACTTTAGACTTTAAAAGAATATCAATTTGAAGTGGATTAAGCGTGCACTCCTAATTGAGCCCAATTCAAGCATAAACAAAGAACAATTCTCAGAACACCTTTTCGAGTTTAGATTTAAAAGTAGCGTCGAGCTAAAATCTCTTCAAAGTCAAATTAGGGACGTGCCTAGAGCCTAGAAGAAACTAAAGGGCAATGCTGTTCAACCAGAAGGATCTATTTGATCGGTGTTCCAAAGGTTGGGACACGAAGGAATGAACTAGAACAAACTGGCCAAGGAGCGGTTGGGACAAGAAGTAGTTCAGGTCAACGCATTCGACCTGCTCGGGGGGAGGCTGATGACCAGTTTAAACCAGGCTCTCCAAACCTCGTCCTCAAGAAGAACCCCAGCAGAGTCGAACGCCCATGGCGGAAGAGGAGGAAATCGCCCGGCTAAAGGCCGAGCTGGAGAGAGAGCGCAGCGACTGGGCCATCCTTGCTTGGGCCGCCCATGGACAAGTTTGTTGCCCAGGCGCTCCCAATCTGGGATACATTTATCTGGTTCTTCCAATGTCTCTACAAACACGAAGTGTCCCTGGGGATAGTCGATGACATCGGGACCTTCGGTTTTGAGACCAGTCAGTACTGGGAGTACCGGGGGCTATATGGGATCCTCAGCCGGGTAATGGCCTTCGGGCGGAAGAACTCAGGAGCCACTTATCAACGGATGGTGAACCGGCTTTTCAAACCACTGCTCGGGAAGTCCATGGAGGCTTATGTTGATGACATGTTGATTAAGATCATGAGAGCAACCAACCACCCAGCAGACATGAGGCGTTGCTTTGAGATCATGGCCAAGTACAACCTGCGCATGAACCCCAAGAAATGCGTCTTCGCTGCAAAGACTGACAAGTTCTAGGGGTTCATGGTCACAATGTGGGGGTAGAGCTTAATCCTAAGAAGATCAAGGTAATCACTGAGATGAGGTCGCTCGGTTCGCTAAAAGATGTCCAACGACTAACTGGGTGTCTGGCGGCATTAAGCAGGTTCTTGTCCCGGTCAGCTGAGAGGGCCTTACCTTTCTTTAAAGTCTTGAAGAAGGCTACCACTTTCGAATGGGACTAGGAGTTTGAGGAAACTTTCCAGCAGCTGAAGGAATACTTAGTTTCTGTTAGAATAAGTGACCAACGCTAGAGGGGGGGGGGGGTGAATAGCGTTTGATCGTAGAATTCGTAGGAATAAAAAAATTAAGAAAGTGAAAAGTAAAGAGCGTAAAAAGCGTAAAGGGGGCACACCAAGATTTATACTGGTTCACCACAACGTGTGGCTAATCCAGTCTCCTGAGAGACTCTCTCGAGCTACACTACTTCCGTTAAGCTTACGGGTGCTTAACAAACCGTTACAACTTGAGAACTCAAACAACACTTGCTCGGAGATACCGCACTCCAAGACTTCAACCCGAAGGAAAATACCTTTCCTTCGTACAACCAAGGGAAACAAGCTTCCCTTAATGTGTATACAACACTAAACACTCAAGAACAAGACTCTCTTTAAGAGTAGATGATGAGTAAACTAAGTACGCTCAAGAACAACTCAAACTTCACATAAATTGGCTCTAGAAAGCTATGGAAAATAATGTTGTTTGGATGCAATGATAATATGAATATTGTGAAGTGAATTTATGATAAAAGCAGACCCAAACACCCCTTTTTATAGTGCAAAAATAGGCTCCAACGGACCAATGCATTAAAGGGGTGATTGGCTTGATTTATGGGATTGAATAAATTTGGGATTTGCAGGATATTGGCTTCCCATCGATGTTTGGAACTTACCCATCGCTGGTAAGCCAATTTTCCTTCAGTTTTGAAGCCAACGGTCACCTACCCATCGATGGGTAAATGCTTCCCATCGCTGGGTGGGAGGTTGACTTTCAAATAAGGAAAGAATCAGCCTTAAATAACTCGCAACGGTCATGCCTAACCAGCCATGGGTATGCCCACCCATCGCTGGGTTCCCATCGATGGGTAGAGGTTCCCATCGCTGGGTAAGGGCATTCTGCCTTGTGTTGATGTTGGACCAAGGCTTTAACAGCGATGGGTAGAACTTCCCATCGCTGTTTGGCATGGTTCTGGAAATCAGTTTCGCTGAGGGACTGCTTACTCATCGATGGGAAGATCTTCCCATCGCTGGGTGGCTTTATTCTGGAATCCCGGGATCACTTACCCATGCATGGGTGAAATCTACCATCGCTGGGTAGATGGCTAGTCCAGAACCATCGCTTAGCCGACCGGCACTGAAACCCGACCGAAAAATGCAAA